ACGCTGATTACGGAGTTTCGGTGGCGCAAGGGTTAAAGTCGCCAATCTCGGACTGCATCAAAATTTCGCTAAATCAAATTTTTATAACTTTTAAAAGAAGTGGGATTTGTTGTACTGTACTTCTGTCGACCAATTTTTTAGTAGAAAAATATCTATAAAATTTACAAGCTTTTATAAATTATTCAAAGAACTGAACTCGTTTGATTGTGCTTCAGATGCGATAGAAGTTCTCTCTAAATAACTTGAGACCAATTATTTATGAAATTCCTAAAAATTGTGTAAATCTGAAGAACAGTCATCTTGAAACACAAAAGTGAGCTTTCCAGCTTTCCTTCTTCCATTGTGTGCCATAAATAACTGTTTGTAATTTTCTTTTTCAGTGATAAATGTGACACTAACGATGTTTTTAAATTTATTTAAGTACCACTTCAAAATCATATTAAATTAGATTCAATTATTGTTGCAAAATATTACCTAGTTGAGGGGAGTAACCGTTTAATCACGTTAGTATAACGCGGAAGGATATAAATCCCGCAATATCGGAAAGATAATTTTTACAGTGATATTAGCCAACCTGATTTTGTGGGAAATTACACAATTTATATCAACAATGTCAATGTTTTCCCATTGTACCATATCCGTTTGCGCCAAAATTTTTTATGAATCATATCTCACAGGTTATACTTACTATCTAGGAACGTAAAATGTGTATCACTTGCAATGAGGTGATAAAGGTTATGTACTTATGAACGTCTGAAGATACCCGCATATTTCGAACGAAAACAGGTTGTATTTGTGCGGGTTTCTTTTCACTGGTAAAGGTAAAGAAACTACATCCTACGGACATCCCAAAAATTTTAATACTTGTAAAGTATGCATAATGCTACCAGCTGCTATCCTTTTCTTTCCCAAGTGTCGGAAATCGTTATCTTAGTCGGTCAAAACTCTTATTGTGTATGCTCTCCCTGAGCATTAGTTGGTGCGGCTTGAAGTATATGGTTCTTTGAAGTGATTGTCGACAAGCGCTCCAAACGTTAGTAATATTGTTTTCTACCTCAAGTATTTCCCCGTCTCCCGACTGTTATTTGATGCGTACATATTCACGGTTATATAATTTTAAGTTTCGTTTTATAACTAGTTGTCTGTGTTTGCATGCATTGCTCCGTGTTTTGAGCTTGTGTTGTGTAGCCTTATGCCTCACAGTGTGGCGTTTAGTCTGGCGAAAAGCTGTAAGTTTTTTAAATATTTCAAATGAAGTTCATACCTTTTTACATTTTAAGTATTCAAAGTGATAATTTTTCGAAATTAATTCTATTTTAGAAGGTTCCCGATGGATCAGTTTCGTGCCTGTCGAGTAGCGTTGAGATGCAAGTACGGTTTACGGGAATAATTAGATGCTGAAGGATTTTCGGTGCATACCGATTATACATACATAATTCTGAATTTCTAATTAAATTCTCTGCGTTCCGCATGTAATTAAATGTACACAGCAATAATTAATTTATGTCATAATATTGATACACACCTTGTAAATTTATAATTTCAATTACTAATTACTGTCTGGTTGCTGCATGTATACATTATAAGTAACATAAACGACACAATCTATTTTCGCCATTATCCAGTAACAGGGATTTAATGAAATCAGAAGAAGTAATTTACGTTAAGCACGTTCTGCAATTTATTTTTATGTATGAACTGTTTCAAGTAATTTTAGCTAAACAGGACGCACAACCATAAAACATTTACTTTAACTATAATCTGCTACTGTAGTCTTATCTTCGCGCTCTGCTTAAGATTATCGGCTTAAGCAGTTACTAAGCAACCATATTATTCCAACAGAAATAGTAGCTTTGCAACTATCCAAGGTGATGTAAACAGCCACTTTTTCCTATTGTTAGTTGTAATCTTGCAAATCATAAAGTACACGATATTTCATCTAATAATATCTACATTTTTTCGTTTATGAAGTACTGAAATTTGACTGTACATAATTTAATAAAGAAATCTGCAATAATTTTGTTCTTAGTGTTTTTATTACAGTTTCTTACAGCACAATTAATGTTTACTTATCTTTGTAACTTTTTTGTTGGTGAAATAAAGTGATGACTTTAAAATGTCTTTATCCTAAAAATGTTTGGCCTAAATTATTATGCCATTATTTAGTACAATAAATAGCAATTAGTACTAGTAAGAAACATGCAAAGTTTACATATTGTGCAATAACAACAAATGACGGTGAAGTGACTACTTGCCAAAATTCTGAATTTTGGAAAGTGCAACCTTCAAAAATAAGTGTACTTTCATCAAAAAAAAAAAATCCAAAACCCAACAAGTCTGTTACGGTTACAATATTTATCAGTGTCTAGCAATGCGTATTTGGTTTTGTAATAGTTTCGCTGCAATTTTTTTTTTTCTTGAAAAACATTTAAAAATCAGTTCCGTGGGTTTAGTTGTACTTATCAGGTGTTTTTTTAAAGTTGTGCTCTAGTTGGCGATGACGCTTAGGTCAGCCGTTTTAATTGAACTGCTGACGTCATAGCCAACTAGAGAAGAAATTTTGAAAAATCACACAGCACTATAGTACTCTTCTTCAATTTGAGCATTTATCTTCACACATATAAAAAGTTGAAGTGAAACACCCTGTTCATAAGCTGAGCAAAATTGCTCCATTTTGCCCAAATATACATGGTGTTTACGCCAAAAATTCAGAGGGTTACTGTTTGAATTGTTTTAAGATTTTTTGATCCTTGAATGATTTTCGCAAAAATCTTTTATTTCAAAGATAGGAGGCGACAAAAGTAAAGTAAAACTAGGATGTACTACACATATGAAAATCGCTGGATTGGTCGAGACGTCACTTATGCTCTGCCTACTCGATCCCTAGACTTAAATCCCTTGGATTTTTATTTATGGGGCCATTTGAAAACATTGTACACTAACCCAGTGGAAAATGAAGAAGATTTAAGAAATCGGATAATTGAAGGATGTAATGCATAAGAAACAACCCTGATATTTTTGAAAAAGTTGACCAGCCAATGGGGAAAAGATTTTATCCTTGTTGATGGTAGTCAAGAATCTTTACATGTGATATAAATTAATAAAGTGTTGTGTTTTTTTTTACCATAACGTCTTGCGAAAGTCATCCAAGGACAAAGAATTTTAAAATAACCCAAGGAGTACTCCCTGAATTTTTTCCGCATGTTTATTAACAAACAGCCTGTGTAATCCAGAAAGAAAACTGCGATAGGCGTATGTTGTTAGTCTGGCAGGAAAAAATATTAAATTTTTATTTAAATTGTTTTGAAATTTCGAATATTGACAAAATTTAACATTGCCGTTCAGAAAATAATTTTCAGCTTTTTATATTTAGGTTGCGATCTTCAACCTTCGACCGGTCAGATAATTTTTTTGTCTATTTATTTATTATAATTAATTAAAATCGTTTTTGTTTTTCTTAATATCTCGAAAACTAATAATAATAATCATAGTATCATGGTTATATTTTGTGAACAGTGTTTTTAAATCAGTAGCGAATTCTATACAGGTTAAATTTTGGTGACGTTACAAAAAAATATATAAATAAAAAAAATACTGAAGAAAATTACCTGATATAAAGACTATAACTTTTTTATATTTTTATACAAACGTATAATAGATATTGTAATACAATATAGAATATTTTTTGTCATCACAATTACCTGAAAATAAACGAGAGTTACTAAAGGTAGTTTACGATGGAAAAAATTATCCACTACTGATTTGGTTCTACAAATTCAGGTTTTTTTGGCTTACAAAACTGTGCATAATAATCTTAATAGATAGGTTACCACCCTGTATACTGCATGAAATTTCCAGTGTTTGTCGTTGCCAGTCTAAAACTAATTTTATTGTTTTATATTGTTAGCATTGATTTGTCGTAGAATTAAAAAATATGTAATAACTGCAACTGACACACACACTGATAATAATTTTAAAAATGTTTCCTACGCAATTTTCAAACACAAAGAATAAAATTCTCAGTTGTTTTAATATGCGGTTCAAAAAGATACATAGCGGATTTTTACAAAATGAAAGAAATTTAACCAAACCGAGCTTAACCTCTTATCAACCCACATCCGATGACCGTGTGACATTAAATAATTAAATAAATTACATTGTTCGTATGTTTTAAATGTTTCCAGTGGCGTACATGCTCTTTAATCATAGATTTGAGTCATTTTGTTTCTCTTTTATATTTTCCTAACATACAATCGTGACTAGATATGAAGTCTCTTTTGTATTTAATTCAAAACGAGACAATACTTTATTATTGGCAAAATAAATCTTTATGCATTAATATTTATTTTTAGTTTTAATTCTGATTCAGTTAATATTATCACCCATTTACAAGATTTTATGTAACCGGGGTCTGATGAAAGGTATCTATATGGAACAGTAATTACACAAACTGATAGCTGAGAATATGTTATCATAAATCAGATGCAAATTTTTGTAATGGGGTCGATTTTAATTGGTTTGCTTATCGTGGTTTTCTTCATTACCATTAATACCGGTACCATCTATATTTGCATGAAAATGTATAAACTGCAACAAATTGCTTTTGTTTCCCCTTGTTGTCATGCCTAATATCTATGGCCTCAAATTTCAAATTGTGTTTAATACGCGATTTCTGCAACCTTAACCAGATTCATTCGAATAACTCACTTTAAATATAGTGCACCACATGGTAAAAATCACTAAAGCGTATCATACTCGTCGGACAAACATATTTTGTTGTTAGTTACAGCACTTGTGAAGTGATAATCTTATTGCTCCTTAAGTTTTATTTATGAGTCTAGTCTTCATTTAAATTTATCGCTTTTATTGCAACATGCAATTTGTGAACTTCAGACGATAAGGTATCTTACTTTTGGTTGTAGGTGTTAGCCTTCCGGTGCATTTATTATAAATGCTTATTAATTTATGGTTACCTTCATTAGTATTCTTTTTTGTTTCAGACGCCACTTCCAACGATACCTCAGGAACAGTCAACACATCCTCGCCAGTTAACAAACGGAGGGGATTCAGTGGGTAAGTAAATATTTTACTGTTTGAAACGTGAAGTATAGAATTAACACTAGTCTGCTTAAAAAGTCATAGTTCCTGCTTCTTAAAGGCACACTTACACACTTGCGTGTTTGTCAAGACGACCACCACCATGATTGTAGAAATTAAGATATCTGGAAGCTGACAAAATAGTGTCGTCTTTATTTCATAATGTTGCTTGGCAAACCTGCAGCTGTGTAAACGATGCTTAACAAGTTTCTAATTCTTTGCTAAGTTATCGACTGTTACCTCTACTGTGTTAATGCGTTATGGATGGCTGAAATTTCACGAATTTTAGTCAAATAACAGCATAATGGGAGTTTATAATTAATTCAGCTTTATTAAAGCTACCCACAATGTTAAAAATAAAATGCTCATATTATTAGCGAAATCCTTTTTTATATGTATGTTATATATTCTATTTATATACGAAATTATTTATAGTCGCAATGATTTTCCGGATTTAACACCATTTTCAGCTCAGTTAGTTGGGCGTCTAATTTATAAGACAATATATTTTACCTGTAGCTCACAGTCTGTATCGCGTAAATAATCATAATTCGTGCCCAGATATGCAAAAGAGGGTAGTGGTATAGTAGGTTCGGCACACGCAACTGACGATGACCTTTTTGTAAAACCACCATAAGAAGGAAATTTCAAGTTTAAAGTGAAGTCGATGTGAACTGTAGGAGTGTAATGCGCCCTGGTGTGTCGCAGTAGTGTTAATGTTATTACTTGCGAAGGCGTCATAAACAATCTGACACATTGAAAAAGGTAATTTTTTTACAACACACCACTCTGTCTGACATTTTATGACAACATTTAATTTTTTAAGTTATATTTTTATTCTCACGTAAAGTTTACCCACCTTGTCGTTTATATAATGAGTTTCGGAATTAGTGTGTATTCACAGTGTAGTCTTTATCTTATCTTTATCAACAAATGTAATTATCATAATCAGTTCTAATTTTAAGGTGCTTTGACAGTTGAATCTGAGCAGCCGCCCGGTGTTTAACAATTTTGTGCAGAACATATTATAATGGGGAAAATAAAACCGTATTTTGAATATTTGTGTTGCAGATGTGGATCTCGGTGAGAATTCAATCATTATTTTTGTTATCATTATTTGACACAATTAACGTGGTGTCATAAATTCTTGTATGCTGTAAATGAGTTTTCTTAGAATTGACAACACAAAAGCTGACTAACATTCCTAGAATTTTTTAAAATAGATATTTAACATCCGTTTTTGACTTCTTATATCTGTGCTGCAACCCGTTCTTGGAAAAGCTTCACCCAAAGATGACAGAAGTGTAAACTTAGACATTGCAAAATGCACTTTTGTTTATTAGTTGTGTAAACAGTAAAAACATGTTTTTAAATCCTTTGTGAAAATACAGACAAAATGTTTTATGTTTACATTGGGAAAGATGAAAAATATTCACCAATTGTCAGACCTCTGGTTTATCAATGAAAGCACCTAGACTACACACTGAGTTTTTTAAAGAACTATTTTTAACTCTGATGGTGCGTTTGTTTTGCCGTAAAAAAATCGGAAGATGAGAAACACGCAGATGAGTAATAGAGTAATAAATATGTGAAACTGTGAAAAGCGATAACAATAATGCATATTATGTGGAAGTAGTTACGAATGACTCGCACACCGTTTAATATTTACCCAAAAATGTGTCACCTACTTGTTCTCATTTCAAAATAATCCAAAATAAGAGAAACTAGAAGGAAGTGACATGACATAGTTATAGATTAGTACTTTATGTTCCTTTATGTCGCAATAAAAAGGAATACCTTCAGGGACATTAAAATAGATGCGTTTAACCTCAAACATTCGCATAGTGGATGATGTAATTTGTCTTTCTAAGTGCTAATAATAGCATAATAAATATATACATTGAGCTCAGTTTTTCTTTATTCTTTATGCGTTTTTTTTTTTTTTTTGTGTAAATAATGGAGATACAGCTTCTTTTTGCCGTCTTCTGATTACTCATAAGAGTTCATAGATAACATTATATATGTACATGACTATACATACCAATATAGTAAAATGTGACTTTACGTAAATAGGATTTTTTTTGTTAAATTATTGTTATAAATTGGAACCGTGGACAGTCTTAAATGTTTAAACATTAGACTTCCATTCACATCGATACTTTATTATTGCAAATTAATATTGTTTTTCACCTATCCTTCAGTTCAATATACCTAATAAATAAATCTGCAGGTTATCGTCAAGGGTTTGAAAATGCAACGTAAAGAAGAAGTTACATTTGATAACAGAATATACACCCCTGAAGATTCCTTTTACTTTTTTTCTTCCTTAAGCAGTTGATGACCATATTCCAATATTTAACTAATGTGCCCATTATTATCGCTTTCATGTTCGTAAATGTACCTAATCTCACTTACTTTTCATAACATGGTTTATAATGTCTGATCTATCAGATTTCTTTCTTTTTTTATTTGTGTTTCTCTAAATTTTATTCTTGTTCATTTTTGCTGTGATTATGTCCTTAACTCTAAAACCTTTATCGCCAGACTACATACAGCTATGGGGAAATGTTTTTAGGTAACAATTTTCACTTGTTCTTTTTTTACTTCCGGCAACTGCAGTTACTTAATAAATCTTTCTTTAAATTTCTTTCAATTCATAAATGTGAATGAAGTCGCTCATACGACATACACTTTCCTTTAAACACTTCAGTAACATTTGACGTTTAGGAACCAAACTATCAGTGCCACTTTATTTTAGATAAATACGTGTTGTAAAAAATCTAGAAACGTAACTATTGCATTAAGTACATTTTATCAGGTGCTTAGTATGTTTAGTTTACATTAGTCATGATAAGTTAAAGATGGAGTCATCCTCGCTCATATTGTTTTATTGTTTAAATAACATATAAATTTAATATAATTAAACAATGAGATCACGTAAAAAATTGGTGAATCGTTGTTTCATTTGTGTATTAATACAATACGCAATATTTTTAAATGTCAAGATAGAAGGAAAGAAGTCAGAGTTAGCTATGATTATGAAACTTCTCTGGTAATTCTGCCATTTAGTCCTTAAAAATACAATTTCTGTGTAAGCGACGTTAAAGATTTATAATAATGTTATGCGTAATAAAACCCATGCATATTTTTAAAATATGCCATTGTAAAAAAAGTGTATTATTGTCGAATATATCAAACCCGTGACAAGCAGTAATTAACCTTTTTTAGGTAAAATCTAAAAATCCTATCGACTACTGTATCATTATTATATCATTATTCCCAACAGTATTTGGATGAGTAACGTTCAGTTTTGAAACTTATTGATTTTCTCGTATGAATATAATAGTGCAATTAAGTTGCGCACCTTTTATATTGTTCTTTTCCACCTTACAATTTGTGCGCAATTTAAATTTAATATTTATTGGTAGTAAAAGAGAGTTGCATGTAATCAAAGTAGTTATTCAGAGAGCGCAGATGCTTTTTGTTTTTAAAAATGTAAGCTGCATCGTAAAACTATCTCTCTTTGCCTTTCCAGGCGGAAATGGTTACCACCACCACTCCGAAAGTTGTCACAGGGTAAAGTGGATAAAACACAACCTACAGCATTGGAACGACCACCACTCAAGAAGACTGGCTCTGATAAGAGAATTAAGGTAAGTGTAATGTGAATGTCGCTGTTGTATTTTAGCGTTATTATTATTTTTAATTTCCGCGATACTAGTAATGTAATAGTTATGTTCGAAAATAAAACAGTAACACTGTACCTTGTTTATTGTGACCTTGCAGATACACTTTTTTTTAAGTTAACAATATTCCCTCGCATTTTCTTTTCAAAGCTATTCCATAACATATTTTCATATTTAATATCACATACACCCACGACGAATTTATTTATATCTAGAACTTCACAGATGACTGCCATGTTATATAGGTATTTCAATAGTTGCTTTAATCTTTCTTTCACAGCTTTGCTAATTTTAACCCCTTCAATGACAATGTTTTAATTAAATACGGTGTAAACTACTAAACTATTTCATGATTGAGCGTTATTAGGTCAATTAATGACGATGACAGTACGATTTTTATGTTTATTATTATTAGCACAACCTTGACAGGTTTCTCACAATGTTCATTTTTTCATGCTTGTTGACCTAATAGTAAATTAAATTATGTGATGTCCCTGTTGGGTTTGGAACTTTGTATATTATCAGCAAATTTCCGTTTTTCTGAATCACTAGACTTTATCGGGTTTTTACTTGTATATGTTCGCAAACCACACAATGACTACGTTATTCCATCGTTTACTTTAGGTGCAGACGTTACATTAAAGTTCCCTTTAAATATTTAGAAATGAAAAGAAAACTTTTCCGTCGTTTATCGTCTTTCTTAGGGAGTGTAAGTTATGGAATAATTTCCTTTTACTTCGTGTTTACCTGATACGTTTTCCTTTATTAACAGTTTATATTTATAGGTACCGTCTGACATGGGCAACAAACCTTCAGTCTCCGAGGGTGAGGACGACGAAGACAGACTGCATTCGTCGTTGAAAGGTGCAAAATCCCTGGGTGCAGAACTGACGAATGGAGGTGGAGAAGACGCCGATGAAGAGGTAGAACTACCACCTCCGATGAAACCGATACAGGAACCCATAGTGGTTACTTCAACACCACCAGGAGTTCCAGATATCGAAGAAAATCCTTGCAAGAGGGTAAGGTCATGATTAATTCTGCCACCATTTCACGTCATCATACACATGTTCCCATTAATAACCTCCATACTTCATTGTAACTTTTCTCTTGCCTCTACAGGTTTCTAGTCTAACTTTAAAATCACTAGAGGGTGCGACGTCTGCAGATTTGGCTGAAATTGAACAGATTGTTAAGGAGAGAATGGTGCGGATCTCATTTTTCAAATTGCACACCTCTTGTTATGTTTTTGTATTTTTTAGTTTTGTATTTCTGCATGATCATTTTCTTCTTGTCGTTTTCTTTCATCTAGCGCTAACATAATTCAGTGCCGATCATTATGTATTTCATTTGATTTGTCTAAACGACTATGGAATGTTATTGCACATCTTGAAAGCACTCATTTTTACTAATTTATAGTTTTGCATCATACCATAGATAGATGGTTTGTAATCTTTAGTTGTATTTTTTTAAGTGCTCCACTTTCAACAATATCGCACTCTCTACAAAAATGTGGCGCCTTAACGTATACGAATAACATAAAGGTTTCCAATGTAGTCCAAGTGTGTTTAGAAAATTCATTGCATGATATTAAAATGTCCATTTGTGTCACTTAATTGCTTAAACCATTTTTCGAACAATTTCATAGCTAATAACACGGATAGGTTACGCCCATTTATTTTAGAGCTCTTTAATAAGTTTTGTAATCTGCAATCTTTCGTCTAAAGTAAGTTTTATTATTGAAAGTGAAGCAATCGTTCAATTTGTTTTTTGTTTAACATCCAGGTACCATATAACTTTTTTTTTTGCAACGTTTCTCTTAAATCATACCTTTTTCTCATAACTATCTAAAACATTTACAGGAGCAGATATCAGAGAGTCAAGAACGCAATTCGGGGTTGCGGGACACAAAGTCAGCTGACGGCATTTCTGAGTGTGGTGACCCGACTCATCGTGAATTATCGGCACGTAATTCTTCAAACGAAGCAACTGCGCTCCCGCTTAGTGGTGACGAAAGTGATAAACCGTCCGAAGACAATGTAGATGGCGGTAAAAAGATAGAAAGTTTGTTGAGAAAGAGACAATTTGTATTACAAGAGCTTGTGGATACAGAAGAAGCGTACGTGCGTGATTTATCTTTGATTGTTGACGGTTATATCGCCACAATGAAGGATCCTGAATGCGAAATCACTATGCCTGACGACCTCAAGAATGGAAAGGATAAGATGGTGTTCGGTAATATAGAAGCCATATATGACTGGCATAAAGAGTGAGTATTGGGTGGCTGGGAGCTTCTTTAAATTGACATTTTTATTGTTGCAGTACTTTTCTAAAGTCTCTTAAGAAGGCGGTAGAAAATCCTACAGAATTAGCACAGTTATTTAAGAGGTATGAACGCAAGCTGCATATATATGTAGTTTACTGCAAAAACAAGCCAGTTTCTGAATATATAGTATCAGAACATTTAGAATCTTATTTTGAGGATCTTAGAGTTAAATTAGGTCATAAACTTCAGCTCTGTGATCTTTTGATCAAACCTGTTCAAAGGATTATGAAGTATCAGTTGATGTTGAAGGATATTTTGAAATATACTGAGAGGGCTGGGCTTACTGCTGAGGCTGAACCACTTAGAGCAGCTTATGAAATGATGGTTATTGTGCCAAAAGCAGCAAACGATATGATGGATGTGGGTCGATTGCAAGGATTTGATGTAAGTATTTTTTCTTTAATTCTAACAAGAGCATCCATCCTAATTACGTATATATACACAGAACTAAGTTTTCTTCGGTGAAGCAATACTACAAGAGCGACTATAAGTTGTCTTAACAATAAACCTAGATATACCGAAAGGGCAATAAAAACATGATCAAAGGCAGTCATTGATTTTTGAAGATTTGTCTTTGTCAGATTACCGACAATTTGAAAGTTTGGGTTGAAAATGCAAAGATCAGAGACATATTTTTAAAAATCTATGACCACCTTTGATCGTGTTTTTATTGCTTTCTCAGTACTATCGTTGATACTAATTACAGGATTGCCAACCTATAATTTAAGTTGTAAAGTCACAAACAATACAAACTAAATGTATTACATATTTTAAAAAATGGGGGATTTTACATAACATCTCTTTACTACTACGTACTAGTAGCAAGATTGAAATAACCATAAAAGGTTGATTATTATTAAATTCATGATTTCGTAGTGTTACTAAAAAAACATCTTCAAAAAATTAATAGGGAACTAATTTTCCGGGTTCAGTGAAAGATATTTTTTTTATTTTCCACTGTTTAACGATTAGTACTTGTTGATGTGATTAATATTACGTCATATATGATAAGATCTTATCATCACTCGTAGGCACCTTAGGTTCATTGAATTGCCACTATATATTTTAAACCCAAACGGGAATTAATAGAACGTGCTTTTGTGGATTTCCTTCCTCTTTCATGCGTAATCGCGCTAAATATGGGAATGAATGAAATACTGCTAACTGATCATGGAAATTCACTTTTATTGTTAAGAGATTTCTTACAATCGAGTTTGATAAGAAGTAAAGATATCGTAAAAAGCGGTTAAGAATTCCTTTTTTTTTTGGGTAGGTTAATTTATTGATTACTACTAACCCAGGGAGGTCATGGCACTTGAATCACTGACTCTACCTGTATGCAGTACATTACAATTGTAGAATTCTTGCGTCATTATATGTAACAAAAGGTAACAACAAATCTAACGTGATATCCGTTGTCCTTGATCGTGGTTTATTACTTATGATGACGTATTACATCCGAATTGTATTTCTTTGGATGGTTCATTTAAAACACAGGAAGCGCATTAAAACACAACCATTAAATTAGCAAAAAAAACAGTACTTCATTAATTGATTCGATTTTTTTTTTATTAGGGTAAAATAACAGCACAAGGAAAGCTACTTCTTCACGGCCTTCTAACATGTACCGATGCGCAAGGCACCGTTGTTGGAAAAAACAAAGAACTACAAGTGTTCTTGTTCGAACAAAGCATAATTTTGTCGGAAATCGTCGGTAAAAAGACACAGTTCACCAGCCCACAGTACATCTACAAAACGCACCTCCAAGTAAGTATTTGTTGTTGTTTTTAAATAGTACTCCGTTATTTATATTAAAATCATCCATATAGGCGAACAAAATGAACTTGCACACAGACGAAGAAGGTTTTGTTTTAACATCAACGGATCCACATAAACCTCCGCTTGCTATTTCTTGCCAAGCCGCTTCGCAAGACCTTCAAGAGCAATGGTTTGCAAAAATTAAGGATATCCTAGAAAAGCAAAAAGACTTTCTTAAGGCCATCCAAAGCCCAATCGCTTACCAAAAAGAGCTTACTAGAGAAGCGTGAGTATATAAGCTTGCCTATTTGGATTTGGGCTCGATAAGTTTGAACTAACTTTGGTTGTGATTTTTTTTCGTTAAAGATACGAATTGTAAAATAAATGTTGAAATGTGAAACGTCTGTCGTTTTTTCAATGGACGTTTCATGTTCGTTGCTTGTGATCGAGAAATGGTGAGGGGACAAAATTATTTAAGTTCATTCAAATTGAATGGATTATAACCTTGATTTTATTCTTGGAAGTGTTGTGACTTGCTTTGATAATCACGTGACCCTTCTTTCAATTTGATAAATTGTAAATGTACAATAACACTTATGAATCTTGCAATTTTCAAGTAGGCACTTAATCTATTTCTTCGCCGGTAATAATCACAACTGTGTGCTCTGCTCCATTTACAAACAACTTGATAGATTAGGTTTCTACTCTTCTGTTGCGAAACTTGCGTTTACGTCGTTTAGTTACGGAGGTAGCGTTAAACGTACCGTTTTTTACTTACAACTTTTCTTGCTCAATTGATGCTCATCAATAACCTTTGATGTAGTTACCTACATGTAATTTTTTTATTAGAACTTCTGTTTATTGATGGGAGGGATGTTGAAATCAAAATCTGTTGTTAATAATCTGTACAAACTGTATTGTTGGGAGCACGAGCGTTTTCATTTTCATGTCACGCCATGGATATTTGAAAAATGCAATCTACTACTTTATAAGTATGAAAACCAATAATACTCTATTCTACACATAAAAGTGAGATATGTGTTATGTTTACTGTATTCTTAATTGTATTAATTATAAGTTGGAAATGTACATAGAATGTATGTTTGTACATAAATATATTCATTGATAAGCGATGATGGAATACAAATTTTCAATAGAATAAAATATGAAATTATGACGCCAGTTTTTTATTTTCATTTTTTTTTTTTTTTAACCTAAAACAAAATTTTCTTTTAGTTTAGTTTATTTTAAAGTTCATTTAACATTCGCTTATCATTTCCTGTATTTACTTTATAACCATTTATTTTACAATTTTTTAGTTTGATTACCAGTTTGCCTTTGCTTTTTAATTTGTTAACCCGCTGTGACCAAAATTTGAATCATCACTGACGACATCAAAATTCATGAGATTCAAACAGTTCGTGAAGATTCAACATTTTGTCCTGTTTTTAGTTTGGTGGTTGGGTTTGAGTCACTTTTAGTTTTTTTCATTATAATAAGTTTGCTTTATTTTCGTAATTTTCCGTACAGTTCTCTGTCAGACGCATCTACAATGTGGGATCCTAGTCCTCTTCGGAAAACCGTTTCCATTCCATTAACGCCTGCTTCGACAGATTCCGCTAAGCACCGAAAAAATTTACATTACATTCATAAAGCAAATACTATTGGTATACCTTCCGAAAACGACCTGGCAGACGCAAGCGAGAGTAAAGTACAGAATCATAACAAAACAAGACTGAATTTCTTTGAAGGATTTAGAAATACGTTAAGATCAAAACATAAAAGTGATCCCACTACTTTAGAATTACAGAAAGAAACTGACAAGAATGATGTGCAGAGGAGATGGTCTGAAGCTAACCAACCCACGGTAAATACATATTTCTCTCATTAAAACTGCATGATCTTTTTGAAACTCGGAATGCGTAAGATCTGTAAATTGTGTCATTTGTAAATCGTGCCAGATTTTTCAAAAGTAACTACATAAATCTTGATGTTCACTTTGAAAACTGACACCATGACATGACAAATGTATAGTAGGCTTCTTGAGCATTCAGTGCATGTTCTTATCAACTTTCTTTCTTGTCTCTAGGTATCATAACAGAGAGCTTGAAATACCAATAAAACTAACCATAGATGATGGCTGTGATACCCATTTAGTTTTAGTTATTTATCAACAAATCTGTGTTAGTCTAATTATTACAAATTGACATGGAGATTTTGGAAATCAACTTAAAAATGTGGTGAGCATGTTTGCAAGCTGTCTATTGCAATAAATTATTTTTTATTAGTGTATGCGTTATTTGTTTCTTCATGCACATTCTCATGTCACTCATTGCAACTTGTATTTCAACCGTCGATTCCATTGCTCCATTTATTTCATTGCACCTTGAATATTAACTTATAGTTACATATGTGTTTACTAACGCTTAGCGTGTGTTAGTAACTAGTGTTTGCGTGACTTGGTTCAATTGATGTATATAGTTTAGTTCTCACAAACATGGGATACATTTTAATTGGTAAAACGATTCTAAGTGCTAATATATCACGTGACAGGTAAGTTAATTTTTTAAGTTACTGTACTGTGGTATCCAATGAATATTAACTAAATTAAATAGCGGATATTTTTTAAATTGTAAAATTAAGTGTTATGAGAAAATGGAAAAAATATAAACGAACTTAATTAAACAAGTTAGGCTATATTTAAAGACTAATATTAGTACTGAAATGGACATCTTCGACCTTAGGACGTCACTTACATGTTTTAAATGTCACCCCGTTTTATATATATTTTATACGAAGATAAAAATAGAGACTGTCTCTATTCTTTACCCTTTTTAAAGTAGTTATAAAAACATTTACTTCTTGAGTTTTATTCCCTTTAAAATCCTAATTTTTATGCTTTGTTAAATATTTTCGTGATACCACACTTGTGTAATACTTTTATTCAATTTTATTCGATAATTTGTGGACACATGGTATTACACACTACTTTCTATTTTATTTTAATCGTTGCATATATTACAATTTTCTTCAATGCACATAAACAAAAAAAACTTTTTGAAAAAATAATCAGTGATTATGCTCGCTGTGCAGTCACTGCAGAGAATTTTTAAATAATAAAGGATACCGGGTAATGATTCGTTTTTTATATGTACACATTTTTTCCTTTAATTATTATTTTATGACAAAGTCACAAAAAGAAAAATTGTAAAAAGTTCAAAAAGGTTTTAGGAACCACTCCTACGTTTTATTTATCTAAAATTTAGCTCTTAAATAAAGAAAAAATAAAATTCAAAAATTTAGGGGAACTAGTAGTTACAGAAAATTCTATTTATTGTAATTAGTTTCACTAGACGAAAAAAAATCCTAGTAGAAGGATATTATCGTTGAAATTCATTAAGACAAATTCAAGTCATGTTTTCTGCCATAGTACTGTGAAAGTAAATACAAAAGAATTGCACCACAAGTGGAAAATCAAAGAAGTGTTACCTGTTACACAGAATAAAAATATTTCGCTGAGCTAAATTGAACAAAATTTGTTTTTCAATTTACAAAACCGAATTCTTCTAAATACGAAAAACATGTAAATATTTGAGGAAGATAAAAGAGTCTGGAATTTTGTGAAATCATGATAGTCTGTACAAATAATGCTAATTTTATTTACCGACGAATGTAAAAAAGTTAGCGATACTGGAGTATCAAAGATCAATATTTGGTCTTTAAAGGAAGAACGTACCCAGTACACAAATACAGTCAAGGTAAGGGCTAGAATATTAAGTATAGTTTTGGAAATTTTATTCTACCCTATAAAATTTTATTGACAATAACGAGACGGACAGTAGTACAATGGTAAGAAATATTTACGGCTCACAGCAGTTCACCTGAATTTGTAGGAGAACATTTAGCAGGTAGTAGGTAATTTATGGTCATTTTCATTCGTAAGTAATGATGGTCCCTGTTCGGACCTGGATTATTTTGCTTTGTAACATCTAGGCATTACTAGCACGCGACAACTTCAAGTTGTAAATATCTCTTACTATTGTATTGTTATTGCCAATAAAATTTTATAGGGTAGAATGAAATTTCCAAAACTGTACCAGATTATTGAACCATTGTTATACCAGTTCACTTAACCGAACCAGTGCCGTTTATTTAAATTTACTGGGAAAAATAAGTGAACCCGCTATGGAGGAAATTGCTAGTGAAAATAAAATTTGATACCGATGTGGAAGTCCGAAAATACTTAGACAATGTATTTCCTAAATCATTAATAGACCGTGGTCTATAATTCAACCATCAGAAGAAGAATTTGAAATGATAGATTAGGTTTTTGTTCGACAGTCAGCGAAGATCGATTTGAGCATCTTATCTAATGTTACGTTTTGTATTTTTGTTCTTTGAAAAATTTATTATTCACATTATAGTAAATTGGAAAATCTCCATAAATGTCGTGCTAAAATTTTAACCAAGTAGCTTTGTTATATAATGATAAATAATAAACCTAAAATAATTGGTGAAATTAATGTGACAATAATGATTTATGAATTCGCATGACAATAAGGTAATTATAACTAGTGAATTTTTCTTATTGTATTCGTGCTTTACTTAATAACTAAACGTAGACAAAAAAAGTAAGAGGGTTATGAGACCATGTTGAATTCACTACTCTCGTCTTTTTATGATTTTGTTATAAAATAATAGAGAAAATATTTAACAAAGCAAAAACAAATGCATAACAATTTTTTTTTTTTTCAATTTACTTTGAACTTATAATTTATAACAAAATCGGAAACCAAACCTAAGCTTACCGGTGGATCATGAAGTTATATCTCGTCGTACAGAGGGCAATCTGAATTTGTATTCATTGACACAAAGTGAGGTTCAACGGGATTTATGTAAGCATGACTACAAAGAAATATGGCAGAATTAATATTTTTAAGGTTTACTGTCATCTAACACAAATAGTAACAGTACAAAGAGGGTAACATTTTCGTTAGGTTGATTGAGCCTTGTTTTCTTTTTTTCCCCCATACAGTGGTAACATAACAACATCAAAAATATGTTTTAATAAATCGCCAACAGTGCAGTTTACAATAGTAATTATGAATTTTAGTTGACGTTAGTTTCGTTTGAAAGTGGTTAAAATACATATATTATTGATTTATTTTCAGTCAGAAATAAAATTGTAAAACAGTCTCATTATTGCCTGAAAGCACTGGAATTTCGAATAAGTCGATCGTCCTATCGTCGTATTATTTAAAACCAAATCGACCGCACTGTCTAAATTTCAAATCTAAGTAATAGGATGTGAAATACGTGGGAAATTTGTAAGAAACCATTACTGAAAGTAAAGCGCTTTGTCAGTAGATGGAGCGATGTGCAAATTAGCCAATACTAGCACGCGATACTCGTAGCGCGTGGTAACGGAGACAGAGATATATCTCTTTGTCTAACATTTTCACTTCCAGTAATTTTACATATGGACTATTTTTGAATAAAAAAATCCATTACTAAAAGATAAAACTCAGAAATCCGTCGTTAAAAATGTTGCCTTCTCTGCTCATCGAGTCAGCCACAGATGCAATTTTTGTACTTTCCGATTGAAAAAGTAGATCCCTCATTTGTGTCCTCGTCTACCTATTGGCAGTTTTATTAAATAGATAATAGAAACTACTGGACAGATTATTGGAAACTTCAGGTGTGTTTTCAGATTATACTTACAGAACAAATAGATTTTTTTAAATTATTATTATGGTTTTATTCTGCTATTCTACGAACCTAGTTGCTATGTAAATGCGTTCGTATCATCGTCTTTATGATATACATAACATAGTGAAGCGATAAAGCGTTTGCCTTGAAATTTTTTTATCCAACACCACTTATGAAGTCATAATCATAATAATACTCGTCGGATTATGGGGATCCATAAAACACTAGTGGAATTAAAATTATGAAAACCAGTTTAGAAGGAATCCATTGAACGTCAAATACATATAGATAAATTTCGTCAAACAGCAATCTCAGACGAAATCACTTGAAATTGATGTTAACATTGATGTTAAAAGATATAACTTTATTTGTTTCATCGATTTCTACTTTATCAATACCATTTCCGCTCTCATTAAATTTTCTCTTCTCAGTATTTACCGAAGTGTTCCTTCTATTCCAGAATTTACCCCCAAGATTTTTTAGCAATATCAATCTTACTTGAAACAGATTCTTCAGTGTAGCCACGGTCGATGATTTCCATCGGTTGTAACGTTGGTAAGGTCGGCTCCAGCATTAAATAATAAAGTTGCCGAAGTACGTCACGTACTGTGCCCTGTATACGACTCTACTTCTGGTAACTTCAAAAAAGCAGGGTATTCTTGATAACGTGTAATGACCACTCGCTTGCACTGTGCAGTTTTCATCATTATAATATAAAAATGATCTGCTGTGAGAAGTATTCTTAGGTTATAAAGACATATGTTCTATAAATTTCTGCACATTAAGAAAAAATCTTCCATAATCAATCAAGCAATGGAAGTTGTATCTAAAAAAACTGTAAGCCAGTACAGTAACAATATTGTTAGATACCAAATAATGTCAATTTCATATAATAAGTATAGTGAACCAAGACCTATAAGGTTATATGGCCATCATAAAAGTAGTTGACCGCAAATAAATACCCCCTTTGTGTAGTTCGCACTAAGCTTACCGGTTGGCAATAAATCACCTTCTAAACATTTCTTGCTCATATTTAACAGGGCCGGCTTTCAAAGCGAGTGGTTATTTCGGAACCCTCAGCGGCTGCAGGTAGTAAAGAAATAGTGGAGTGGTGGATTTTCATATTTAGTGAAAGCCGCCCCTGAACGAAACCACAAG